ATGCTGCAGGCTGACAGGTTTGTGGGTTTGGCTGGTGGCTGATTGCTGTGCTGTTTCTGACGCTGACCCATCTCTTGCCGCCACCACCAAGCAGAGTCTGGCCACAGAGCAGCGCTACAGCAGGTGCATGGAGTAGCGATTTGTGGCAGATGGGGTATGCATTGTCACAGTGTGCTACTTCTGGCAAATCTCTGTTTGAAATTGGGACATATGACATGAGTTTTCTAACAATACATTTTTCTAAGTTAGAAAACATTTGTTTTATTGAGATCCAAATTTAATATGGAGATTTCATGGGGTAGGAAACTGACAGGGCAGACACCATCCATCACAAATTGCTACTTCTGGAGCAGGGCTGAGACAATCAAGGAAATCAGGCAGCATTCAAGTGTTATGGGCATAAATAATAGCCTGACATTAAAAAAAAAAAACATGAGTATTAAAATCTGTAATTTACTATTTCACAATAAAAAGATAGGTGATGTTATAATAATAATGAAACTAATGTTTTCGAAAAGTTAAGACAAGGAATTAAAATCCATTTACAGGAAATTGATACAGAATGGTCAATTCAAGCAATTAGAAGAGCAAAAAAGACAAACCCTGAGCCCTCACCTGCTAACCCTAATCCCAAACCCTAACTCCTGTTCCCCAGTACTCTAACCCAACTCCTCCCCCTAACCTTTGACCCTATCCCACACCACAACCCAACCCTAAAGCCTGACACCTCCCTTCACCCTAGGCAACCCAACCCTGACCCCTGCACCCTAACCCTTCAACTAACCCTGATCATCACCCTATTATATCATAACCCCCACCCTGACCATAACCCTAACCCCTTAACTCTAACCCACCTTTGAACCCAAACTCTTACCTGATCTAATCCCTAAAACTAATCCTAACCCTCGCATTAAACACAACCCTCTAACCCTCAACCCTGCCTCCCAGAACCTACCCCACTCCTCCCCTCCCCTAATCTTACTCTCCCCTGGGCTGCATAAAGGATTCAGGGGGTCTGGGGAAAAGCAATTTCGGGGGTCCCTTCCATAAAAAAAATTGCAATACTATATTCTCGTGGGGGCCCCTACAAGGCCTGGGGCAAATTGCCCCACTTGCCTCCCCCGGGGGGCCCTGACTCTCCCTCTCAACCCCTAGCCATTTCCAAACCTAATCCACACCCTAAACCTAATTCTCCTTTACCCTAATCCAACCCCTAGACCCTGACCCTGTAATCTAAACCCTGAAACCCCAATTTCTTCCCTCCATGGGTGGCACCATCCTCTTCCCTGTGGGGGGGCTGAGGTAGGCTAGACAGAAAATTGGGGGGGCTGCACCCCCCCTTGGTACAGGGCCCCACCTATCTCTATGGCTCTGCTCCTCTTAAGTGCCAGCCCTGCCTCCTGCCCCA